CACACACACACACACACACAGAGAAAAGAAACATGTTCATTTTTGTCAGGTCGGGTAATCAGGCATTAAACCGTAATCCAGCCGGTCAGGTTTAAATACTGGACGGTGCGTTTAAGAAGCTATGTGGTGTGTTCAAGAACTTAGAAAAGCAGTGTGGTGTGTTCAGGGACATTTAGGCTACAAAAACTAGTGTGGTGTGTTCAGGGACATTTAGGCTACAAAAACTAGTGTGGTGTGTTCAGGGACATTTAAAAAAGAAAACAGTGTAATGTGATAACATTATGTTGGAGAGTTGTGAATATGGTGTGTTCAGGGACATAAAAAGTAATATTGTAGGGGTCATAGAGGAACCTGTGAAACCTAAAGTTGGGCTTTGGGGATATATGGACATGAACAAGTACTGTACCTGCGTCGATATGATGCTCACTCTTCACTCTCGCTGTCAGGCTGCTCTGAGATGCTGATGGCCAAGGTCGTGACTGATCTGGCCAATAGGACGCCAGGAAAGGAGGCGGTTGCCATGGAGTCGTTTGCAAAGGCTCTGATGATGGTGAGACGCTCTGCTCTGTGTCAGAGGATCTTTACATCTCTACAGTGTTCACTTTTTATTGAACTGTTGTTTTATCCTCCAGCTGCCGACCATCATCGCAGACAACGCAGGGTACGACAGCGCCGACCTGGTGGCTCAACTGAGAGCTGCACACATGGAGAACAAGACCACCTACGGCCTGAGTGAGAACCAAACTTAAAGACGCAAACATTTCTGAGAGAGAAGCTAGAGAATAAAAAAGTCTTCAATATATTAAATCCAGTCAATAACACGGTCCATAGCAACACTCCACCAGAAGTTCTTCAGGTGTCACATGTGAGAGTTTGTTTTGACGGCGTGTGTTTGACTCCCTCAGACATGAATGAAGGCACGGTGGGCAGCATGGCGGAGCTGGGGATCACAGAGTCGTTCCAGGTGAAGCGTCAGGTGCTGCTGAGCGCGTCAGAAGCTGCAGAGATGATCCTGAGAGTGGACAACATCATTAAATCTGCTCCCAGGTCAGTGCAGCACACCGGCTCACCTTTTTATATACACGCCGTCATTCTTCTGTTTGTGTTGTTTTTTAACTTCCTGGTTTTTGTTTTGCAGGAAGAGAGTCCCCGACCATCACCCCTGCTAGAGGACCAGGATGATGATGAAACGGGGGAGGGGATCAGTTTTGTTATTTATCACCTCTGTGTAGCTCAAGTTTAAGAAAACGCTCCGCTGTTTGTTTTTTTCTGTCAGGCTCTCTGCTGAAGCACTGCACGGTGCTAACAGGCTAACGTTAGCCGCTTTGTTACGACACCGCTTAGGACGGACATTTGGATGTTGTTTGTTTTGTTTACTGAAATAAATGAACCAATCCTCAACAGTGGGTTTTATTGATGTCTTAATTCAGTCACTGGTTTGTTTTTGCACCCCTCCACAAAAAGAGAAAATCCAATCGTATCGAAGTCTACGAGGAAAGAGCAAAGTCACTTTCTCTGTGACCAGAAGAATGTTGAGTTCTAAAACAGACGGAGAAGTCTGATGTTCATTTTTAGGGACAGACCTTTTGGTAGACACACAGTATGTAATTTCCTTCACCAGGGGGCTCTCAATCAAAACAATTCTACAATTCACTTATCAGACTCTTTTATCCAAAGCGACGTACATCAGAGAGTAAGAACAACACGAGAGAGGATCTAGAAAAAAGGGAACAATGTGAGTAAGAGCAAACGATCAGCTTTGAGTCTGATTGGACACACAGGTGCTGACAGGAAGTGACCAGAGGCAAAGCACAACATTGAGGGCAGTTCTTGAGAGCTCTAATCAGTATAGAAACCATCTTATAAGTCGTCGTTATCAAACAAAAACCATCGTCATTACCATCATCATCATCAATAATATGGAGACCATCATCATTAAGTTAGTAGGTATTCATGAAAGAGCTGGCTCTTTAGCTTTTTCTTAAAGGTGCAGAGGGACTCTGCAGATCACATGGAGTTTGGAAGTTCATTCCACCACCGGGGGGCGACAGAGGAGAAGAGTCTAGTCAGAGACTTAGGACCCTGTTGTGAAGGTTGGATCAGACGCCTTTCATTGGCAGAGCGTAGTGGGGGGAGGGAGTGAAACAATAACTAAAGGATGAGGTCGAGGCTGGCAGGGAATCATGGGAGTGATTCAGTCGCACCAAATGAGTACGATTGGCTGGTGTAGGAGGTGGCTTTTAAAAACATACCAAGATGAATATTCTAATGCATCTGTGAGAAATTGTGCCCCCCCCCCTTGGAGAAAGATGCACCAGCAGTCACTGAGCACCTGCATGTCGGTGCATTGGTTTGGTTTCGTGTGTGACTGTTCGGTCTGCAGGTCAGAGTGACTGAGACCTGTGAGTGTAAACAAAGAGGAGATAGTGATCAGAGTCTCTCACAGGCCGTGACGCCGACCCTCTGAGATCCAATCAGGTCTTCATTGAACCCTGATAAAATCCTCCTCTCTGCCAAACATCAGTCTGACTCTCACATGCAGACATGTGGAGGTTTGTGTTGGTGCTGCTGGTGGTTTGGACATGGCCGAGCTCGGCGCTGGTCAGGTAGGAAAACAAACTCATTCTAATCGGAGTCCAAAAGAAAAACAGAATATGTCATTAATATACTAAATACTTAAATAACCTTCAATTCTGAATGTAGAGATGTTATCTGGTCTGGTCTTCACTTTCTCGTCTCGACTAATCAAAGTGGATTCTGTTTAAAAATCCAACTCGTTTTTAACCACTAGGTGTCAGAGTTACATATTACTCCTTTAATGAAAAAAAAACCTGCAGGTGTAAAAAACAATTTTACAATATTAATTTATAATCTAGAGTTTTTGGCCCTCGCATTTTGATATCCTCATCATCTCCAGGCTTACTTTCTCCCTCCCTTTTTTCCTGTTTCTTTATGCTAAGCTAATGTAAATAAAAAGAGCATGTGTTTGTGTGTGCGTGTTACCTAAAGGGATACTTCACCCGTTGAAACATGACTCTGTGTTGACTTTGGGTCATATATGTAGAAATGTGAAATACATTTTGAAGTTGGAGCCTTCTTGGCCGTGAAAAGGCAGAAAGTGTCTTTTTGGCTCATGTGGATGAAAGACACCAAATCCCAGAATGCACAGCACCACAGGCCACTCCCACTAAGGTCCTCTAGTTCAGAATCAGAAATACTTTATTAATCCCAGAGGAAAATTTGATCATTACAGTTTCTCCAAAATATACAATATAGCAGTAGAAATATAGAAATAAAAACATTTACAGACTTCAACACATCAGACCGTTTCCTCAACAAAACAGACTCTATGTCTGTGTCCACACAAACAGTGCTACCAGGTTTATAATGACACAAAGATTAATGCTAATGGCTGAAGTATCCCTTTAACCCAGTGACTGGAACAGTTTGAAATGTTTTCTCCTCAGGGTCCCTCTGAGGCGGCTGCCCTCAATCCGTAGCCAGCTGCGTGTTGATGGCTCGTTGCAGGAGTTCCTGAAGGATCACCATCCTGACATGTTGGGTCGACGCTACGCTCAGTGCTACCCGCCCGGCACGCTGTCTCTGAGGCTCGGACGCTACAGTGAAAAGATCTACAACTTCATGGACGTAAGAACACAGACCTGCATCACATGAGTCTCCTGAGCTAAGATCTTAACTTCAGTGGGATTGTTGCAGTGCTTTGTAAGATCCACTAGGGGGCAGTGTTGATCCATCAGCTGTTTCTGTTTCAGGCTCAGTATTATGGAGAAATCAGTTTGGGGAATCCGGAGCAGAACTTCTCCGTGATTTTTGACACCGGATCATCCGACCTCTGGGTCCCGTCATCCTACTGTGTCAGCCAAGCCTGCGGTACCCCCAACACACACACACACACACACACACACACACACACACACACACACACACACACACACACACACACACACACACACACACACACACACACACACACACACACACACACACACACACAGACACACACACACAAACACACACAGACACACACACACACACACACACACACACACACACACACACACACACACACACACTAACCTGCCAAGAGTTTGTATTGATACTTTGATTGCAAAGGTCGTGTTTGTGGGTCAGGTCAACATGACAGCTCGATTTAAAGTGCTCCTCACTTTGATAAAGTGTTCAATGTGTGTGTGTGTGTGTGTGTGTGTGTGTGTGTGTGTGTGTGTGTGTGTGTGTGTGTGTGTGTTTCACAGGGTCGCACGGACAATTCAAGGCGTTTGAGTCGACTACGTTTCACCACGATGGTCGGAGGTTTGGGATTAACTATGGATCAGGACACCTGCTGGGAGTCATGGCCAGAGACACACTGAAGGTTCCTCTCACATATTTTACAGACGGTTTGAAGTTAAAGTTACAGAAGAAGATTGTTTTTACAGAAGGGCCGGGAAATTAATTGAGTTTTGATTTCACATTTTTCCTGGCTATTTGTGCCACCAATGATACGTAAAATCTCCCGACCTGCTTACAGTGAAAGATTTGAGATTTTGTTTTGATCCTGTGTAGTGAGATAAATAGAAAGTCTAATTTATAAAGTTCTAAGATCCTCTGGTCTCTGTTCCAGGTCGGGGCTCTGACCATCCTAAATCAAGAGTTTGGGGAGTCTGTCTACGAGCCAAGTGCTGCATTTGTGATGGCCAAATTCGACGGGGTTCTTGGGATGGCTTACCCAGCCCTGGCGGAGATCCTGGGAAACCCTGTTTTTGACAACATGTTGGCGCAAAAGGCGGTGGAGGAGCCCGTCTTCTCTTTCTACCTCAGCAGGTGAGACCTCACCAGAGAACTTGAAAGGTCCATGGAGTTTTTTTGGACTGATCCAAAGGATTGTGTTTATTCAGGCATTCATTTTAAGAGTGTCCGTTGCATTTTGTTATTTGTTGATTTTTGTCCCTGCAGGAGAACGGGTGACAGCAGCCCTGAGGGCGAGCTGTTGCTGGGTGGAACCGATGAGACGCTTTTCACTGGACCAATCAACTGGCTCCCTGTGACTGCTAAAGCGTACTGGCAGATCCAAATGGATAGGTTTCCTTCATGTTATGAATATTTTTGATTCAGTGCAAAATCCGTTGATTAACTCTGATGTGATGTTAACCACAAACTCTTCTCTTTCAGTGTCGCTGTTCAAGGTGTGAGTTCCTTCTGTCGTCAGGGTTGCCCAGCGATCGTCGATACTGGAACCTCCCTCATCACCGGACCAACCAATGACATCCTCCACCTTCAGCAGCTGATTGGAGCCAGTCCAACAAATATTGGAGAGGTTAAAAATCTTCAGTTGTATGTCCAGAAAGAAATGTAGACCTGCTTTGAGTAAGCTGCATTTGATGAAGCTACTTTATCTTATTTTAACGTCTGTGTGTTTACAGTTCCTTGTCGACTGTGCCAGATTGTCCAGTTTGCCTCATGTGACGTTCATCCTGGGAGGAAAAGAGTACACACTCACTGCAGAGCAGTATGTTCGGAAGGTTAGTCATCCTGTGCCTTTTTCTCTGTTAGCTTGGCTTTGTTTGGTAGAGGCAAGGCAGGGAACTGCTCGTGGCCCCAGACCACTAAAGCAGCAAATTAAAATGTGCAAATTTTGCAATGACAGTAGGAAACCGCCCTAAGGGGCCTCCATCTGACAGCATTCACCCCCCAACTGATTTTTGCCTTGGGCCCCAACAGAGTCTAGAATCACCACTGGTTGTCATTGTTTGATAATCCATTCAGAAATATTTTTTATGGTTGACATGATAAATAAACAGAAAATAAACATCATGATGAAATACTTCTAAATGTTGATCTGCCTCTTTCCTTTTCTGTCTCTAGGAGATGTTGGGGACAGGGAGTTGTGTTTCAGTGGTTTCCATGCCATGGACATCATGACCACTCAAGGCCCGTTGTGGATTCTGGGAGATGTATTTCTGACACAGTTCTACAGCATATTCGACAGAGGACAAGACCGCGTCGGCTTAGCTATCGCTAAGCATTCCAGCGCAGAATAACACACATTTGTTATCGATATTTGATAACTGTTTGATCAACACACGTTGTACAATTAAAAGACCTTAACAGCATTTTGTAGTTCTTGCAAAGGGACCAACTCAAATGGGAAAAAGTTGGAAACTATCTAGCAGCAATAGGCTTCATCAACCAATCATTCTTTCTCCTGTTTCACAACCTTTCTGAGATCAGTTCATCCATCCTAAAGTTACAACAGCATAACAACCGTAACACATCTGACATTGTGAATAGCAGTTTTTGGTGTTTTAGCAGCAGCAGATAAAAACAGTGGAATATAAAGTGTAATACACAAAGACAGAAGAGTTTATGCTACAAAAGATATTTGTCTCCAAAGTCCAGGTAGTATTCCTGAGATCTTAATCCCATCAGCAGCCACCAGAGATAACTGTTGGAGTCTGTGTTTTGTATCTGTAGTTCCTCTGATGTTGATGAAAACTTCTCCACAACGGGTTCAGCTCTTAGTGGCTCGTTTCCCTTTTTTTAAGCATACATTTTCTACAGTTGCAGGTTTCTAGTCTACCATGTGCCGTCGTGGTGGTTGTTGCTTTCTCTTTCCATGTTTGCTTAAATCGCCCGATTTGTAAGCTACTGGATCCTTTGGGGTACCTTATTGGAGCCCCGGTTTGGGTTTGTCTCAGGTCTCTCTCGATGGTGCTTTTTAAGCAATTGGTTTTAATGTACCTGGTCATGGTTGGGAGTTCTCCTGTTGGGTAATTTCAATGCCAGTTTGCAAATAGGCTCAATTGTTTTGTTGATCAAAGTGGTTCTCATATGTTTTCTGAGCTCTGCGATTGGGAATCCGGGTTTTTTATTTCTTCACTGCTGTTGGATCCGTCCTTGTTGTCTTTCTCAGTCCCGGCCATTCCTTGGAAATCTTGGTCGTACTCCGGTTCAGGGAGCTGCAGAGTGTCAGAAGGGGGTCCAGGGGATCGTCTGGATTGGAATCGAGCCAGGCCTCGTCTCCGCCTTCCTAGACCTGTAGGGCTGGGTAGGCTGCGGACAGACCCCTTTGAGGTCTGTCTGGAGAACTGGAGGGAGAACTGGCGTCCCCTCAGTCGGGTCGGTGGTGGATTCTGGACGTCTTGTGTCGCCCAGCGAAATTCCTTGGGTCCCAGTTGTGTGGGGGAACAACAGACCGGGGAGCCGTGCCTGGACAGAGAAAGAGTCAGAAAACCAAGGGAAGTAAAATAAATTCTGCTTGTGCATTACCAAATTTCAACTAGAAACAGAAAGGTATGTCTCCAACATAGAGACTGCTTCTGATTGGTTGTTAATTTGGTTAATGGTTTAATGATGGACACAGTCGAACATAAGTGAAGTGGGGACTTTAAGACCACTAAATGACCTTGTTGTGTCCAAGCCTGGTATCTCCTCAGCGGAGGAGGGATCCAGTCCATTCTGTGGTTTTGCTGCTTCACCGTTGTGAGGAGATTCCATGTTGTGACAGACGCCCCTGGTCAGCGGTGGGCTGATGACGAGCCGGGGGAAATCAGCAGACAGTGAGCCTTCAGGGGATGGAGGATTGCTGCTGACCTCCCTTACAGTGGACAGGGTGTCCATGGCAGAGGGAGGCACCGCCTGAGTGGAGGGTGGGTGCATGTTTGCTGGGCCTGGATTGACCCTGGATGGATTGACCAACAAAAGAATTGATGTTGTAAAGGACCCAACTGAAACTACTGAGCTGCCTTGCTGCCAATAAGAAATCAGTTTAAAATCACCAAACATGGATTCCTTAAGCAGTTGAAAAAAAGAAAAAGTGTACCTGAGGTCTGGGAAGAAGCTTCCTGTTGCATCACTGCTGTGTCGTTTAAAGATGGGTCGGGGAGGTCGGAGCTCAGGAGGCTCCTGAACACTGAGCAGCCTGCGTACTCGACCCAGAACCTGCAAAAATCAAAAACACTTACTGACAGGAAAAATAAACGCAGCGATAACATACGATCTGTACACTTTCTACCATATGAAAAAAGAACAAAGAACGACAGCAGCAAGTTCTCAAAACAGCACATACAGTACTTCCCCACGCCGTACTGTAGCCATCAGATCCTTTTAATGATCCCATTACCATAAAAAAGAAACATATGGCATACACTGAGAATATGATGCATACTGCATTGAAGGGATTCACAAATCACACAAAGATTTTCAACAGAGAATTCTCTTTACCTTGGACTCCCCAAAGTGGTAACCAACAACCAACAATGTTCAGGATTTAAAATCCAATATCTGAAGTACTTTATAAATTGAATGTAGAGTTTTGACAACCAAATTAAAAAGACAATCTTTATGGGTTAAAGACTCATCAGAAAACATCAAATGACATTATACATAGATATGATAAAAAAGTGTTTTCTTACAGATTCCTGGCGCAGAGTCAAAACAGACTCCGGTTGCCGGCCACGATTATCCCCAACATCAGCATCATCAAACTGCAGGATGTCAGAAAGTCTGGAAAGGATATGGATAAATGTTGTTTCTTTTTGACTGGATGTATTCTCCAACAGCCCATCATAATATCATTTTTCATTACTGGATTGAGCTTGTTTATGAAGAATGCGCCCTCTTAGGTTCACTGATTCCTGCATCACTGTTCCAATGAAATCATAGATAGTGGTATATTTGACCCCAACCAATCAGGAAGTTGGAAAGCTGCCAGTATGTTGTATGATAAAAACAAATCTGTGTAATGACCCCATGTCAGTGGTCGAGCCGAGGAATGATGGGATGCAGTAGTCAGCAGCAGCTAGCGTGTATGGCGGCCGCGCCTCGCTGTCGTTCCAGTACATGTCTTTGGTCATATGAGGCAGGTTCATGTGCATCTCGTCAACGGCCAGCAGAGACACCTGCAGGGACAGGTGACCAGCAAGGGAAGACAAGTGTGAGATACAGAAGATACAGATAGGGCATCACAGAATTATAAACCTCCATATAAGGTAAGGTAACTTTATTTGTACCTGGAGGTCGATGTGATTTACAATGAGTGAGTGATTAAAACCAAACCAGAATTCCTAGGAGGCCAATATTGGTTTGTTCTGTTTTCAGTTATCTAGTGTCTAAGTTGCATGCAATCTCCTGCACGCAGTCTAAATTGCACAAATACGTTGGCAATGTTTTGATGAACGTTCAGACTCTGAGCTCTGTGATTGGCTGCTGACCTGAAGGTTCCTGTCAATGATCCAGTTGGCTTCAAAGTCGTCATCATCCTCTCCAAACGGGTTGATCAGCTGCTCCGCTACCTGACAGTAAGGTCAAAACACGCACACTCTTTAATGACACAGCTACAGGTAACAGTCGACGTCAGCTTGAGAAGAGGAACCATTTTTAAAACCAATGCTGCAGCACTTTCTTTTTTAAGGCTACACAAGAGACAAAGTACTATTAAACTTGAGAGGCTTTTCTGGCTCACCTCCATCAAGTCGGGTTAATAATAACCTCATGAGGAGTGTTATTAATAAAACAGGACCAGAGAAAAAGTTGCACTTGTTTATGTCTCAGTTGGAAAGAAACGGTTAAAGGAGAATAAAAGAAAATGTGTACTGCAGTCCAGATTCTAAACATTGTAGAGAGCCCCCCCCCTCCTCTCTAGAGTGGATGCTCACAGGTCACCATGTGGTGGACTCTGAAGCTTCAGTGTTTATCCAGCTCTGCATGGGTCTGTAAACCTTTCTGCATTCTAACCAGCATCTCCAATTTTGATCCTTTGACCACGTTCATTTATGACTTTATGGTTCTGAATGTTTCAGAGCTCCGTGACGATATCGCGCCAAACACACAGCAACACAAACTAACCAACCAGGCGAGCAAGATAATGGAATTTCAGACATGCCATTAAAAATGGGATTACATTAATCGCGATTACATTTTGAAACTCAGAGATTAATCGCAATTTTTAAACCGATGTCTGACAGCCCCTCGTTAAAAAAACATCTCGGGTTCTGAAATATCACACGTCCTGCTGTAGAAAAATAAACAATATGATCCGCTTTATTTGGTAAGGTTACGTTTTTGCACCTTGAGCCAGCCGGCGTAGAAGAAGAACTGCAGCAGAGTGAAGACGGGCACGTAGAGGTCAAGGTCGTGACCTTGGTAATGCTGGGCAGGGTCGAGGAACTGGCGACCAATCAGGCAAGCCACGAAAAAGGTGTAGACAGCCAGAGTGACGACCTGTTGAGTGAAAACGACACAGAGACTTCACTGACCCTCCCTCATTCTCTGTGTGGGAAGTGGAGAGCTCTGATCGGGTTACAGTAATGACGGGCGATGATGATGTCATTAGATGAGCTACAGTCACATGTTGCAGTGACAGATACCGACCTGCGTGTACACCAGAGGGATGCCGACCCAGTCGTAGCCGAACAGAGTGGCACACCAGGTCCTGAACACGTTCATCTCCTGCAGACAGAGAGAGACTTGTTCAGTGAGGAAATATACTTTCTGGTTGGTCCAACAGTTCCAAGTGTCACATTACCTGCATGTCTGCTTTGTGCGGTCACAGACTAATAAAGGACTCTCGAGTGTGTGTGGTTGCTTTATCGCCCTTTTCATTTTGACTGGAAAACGTAATGGGAATAATCTATCACACCAATGTCACACCAGAGGGATATTTGAGCCCAGAGCCCCAAAGGTCGGCCCAGGTGTGAAAATGAATCCCTCAGGTGGTGTTTGTCACAACAGAGATTTAGAGTCCACGTCAAGTCTAAGTTAATACAAGAAAATTGTCTGAATATTACAACAATGAAGTTCAAATATTTCCAGAATCAAGTAATAAAATCGTGGGAATAAGGACATAAGAGAATAAAGTAGCAATACTACGGGAATTAAACTGTAATTCAAGGAGACACAAGTCAGAATATTACACTGGAAAAGTATCAGTTGATGCCCTGGTTGTTTTTCTGATACTTGTTGAAGGTGTTTTAAGCTCCGCCTCCAACTGTTGTCCGTTACTAGTTTTAATCGAAAGGTGAGATAGTTTCCAATAAGTTTCCATCTTTTGACTTCATACTGCCTCTTGAGATATCTGTGAGTGACAGCACTGAGACTACGTCCATGTTTCACAGTTTTACAGTCTTTGGTTAAACTGAGGTTTTAAAACACACCTGTAGTAACGTCTTATCACCACAGGTGCTGCCAAAGAGAACCAAACCGAGATCATTGAGACTGTTGCTTTAAGACCAAATGTTTGAGGTACTTTCCCTTTTAAAAATGTGTTTTCTTTTCATGTTTCTTTCTACTTGTTGTCCTGTTTAATTCATAAAAAACAACTGAACTCTTAGTCCACCATGTTTATCAGAATATTAAGCTTGAGTTGTGGTTGAGTTGGATCAAATAGTCTCTGGGTGTAATGCTATGTCTCACATTGAGAATACTCTGCAGGTTGATGCTGTCTTGGATGCGTCCTTCCTGCCGAGCTTTGGACGCCAAGTTGGTAAACCAGACGACGGGAATCCAGTACTTCAGGTGAGGCGAGGGCACGTTCTCGAACACTTTCCTCTCCTCTGGAGTCATAAAACCTGCAGGTGAAAGGATCATTAAAACAGAATCAGAACTTTGCAGAAAAAAGGTTGCAAGAAGGTAGAATTTTAAAATATTCCGATATGGACTGTCTTGTTTGTGTAACAATGGTAGAAACCCAACATACAGACGGACAAAAATGTTTTGCAGTTGGAAGGCTTTCAGTCCTAATTAAGACTCAAGTATCAAACAGATGTCATCCTGATCGGCTCCACTCTCCAGAAGCTGGAACTGGTCAGTAATGAGCCAATCCCTGGGGTCGAATTAGACGGGAACAGGAAGGAAGAGGCACAGCCGGAGGAGCTGAACTTCATCTGACACAACATGGACAACTCAGCCACAGCATGCAGGAAGAGAGAGGTACACAAACATCGAAGAGCGAAGTGAAGTAGAAGTGGCAGAAAAGTGGGGAACCTAAAATCAATACTTAAAGTCTTCATATGTGATTTTTCTCACTTAAATGTAGAAATCAAGTATCTCCTCTGAAAATAACTTTCTGAGTCATGACTGTCTACAATGGGTGTAACACCCGAGTCCCACTGTCTGTGATGTTTTCAGAGAAAACTTACATGCAGTGTGAAGATACCAGCATAATAAAGATCGCTAGCATTAGCATGCTAACACAACAATGCAGCCCGAGTTCTTTTGTTTTCTTGCTGGTGCTCAAGGGCGACATCTGCTGGATCAAAACATCACATATAAAGACTTTACAAAAATGACCAGACATAAAACTGTTATCAAACCCCAAACTGTCTGATTCTCACCCGCCTCGACCACATGGTCCATGGTTGGGAAGCGTTTGCAGACGGCGGTGCTGACGGAGCGGAAGATGAGGAGTGAAGTGAGGTTAACGTAACGCACCAGCGTCCGGCGAAGCAGGCGGCCATATTCATCTTTACCATGAACACAGCTGGAAGAGGAAACATGATGACACACGTTTCAGGCAACTACTCGACACTAGATCCCAAAGAACGGTCTGTCAATTCTAGGGATGAACGAAACACTCAGTCACAATAGGACTCACGACATGAGGTACGAAATTTTTACGATTTTTGCATTATGTTCATGTTCAAACACTCAACCAGAGATTGTCTCATAAATATGTCATTTGTGAGGCTTTTAGTCTGACTTTTTTAATTCCTCACATCTAGGTTTCTTTATTATCTGTTTTCAAAGGATGCAAAAAAATACTTACAGAAGATCGCAAAGTTACAGAGGCAGCTCAAAGAACGACTGGAAGTTAAAAATGTCTGATGAATCACACCAAACGGGAAAATTGAACAGCTAAAAAGCCACTGAAATCACGGCTCAGTCGGGTCTTCAAGATCAAGTGAACGTACCTGGAGATGAGGAACATCAGTCGGTCGGGCCAGGGCAGGTTGACAAACTGATTCCACCATCGATTCACCACCAGAGTCACGTAAAACCCTGAAACACAAACACACTCATCAACACACCTTCCTCCACTAGTCTTTGATTTAGAAGTTGGTGTCTCAGAATATCTTTGTTTGAAACACAGAAAAGATTCTGTTGGAATATAAGGTCATGGGAATCTTGTATCGTCAAACCTCAAATCAAGACACTTTAATTTGACCTCAAACCTCCACGTATCAAACCACTGATCGGTGACCTGCTCTGGTCACACGAGGTGGTCGTTAAAGGTTTCCTCCTGAGCAGCTCGTTTAAGTTGGTTGTCAGCAGCGTTTAGTTCACTGAAGTCGATCATAACAGTTCTACTTCCTGTCTGTACCCCCTGTTTGTGTTTCCTACCTGTTGTCGCTACGCAGCAGTTCCTGTTAGCATGATAAGCTAGGCTAGCTAAGCCAAGACTGATTGACACATGTACAAACCAGTCAGTGTTGAGCTTTGACTCGTGGTGCGTTAGTGTTTTTCTATTGGTTACTGTACTCTGTAGCGTCTTCAGAGGCGTTACAGAGGAGAGGTGGGATCAGCTGAGCCAGCAGGGGAGCACAGCGCTGTGTGTGTGTGTGTGTGTGTGTGTGTGTGTGTGTGTGTGTGTGTGTGTGTGTGTGTGTGTGTGTGTGTGTTCATGTCTGACTGTGTGTCTGTGAAGCTCCCGCTGTGCCGTGTTTCTGCAACGCCAAACACAGTGTGACCTCACAGTCTGGGACGCAGATGTTACGCCGTCGCGCAATCACTAAGACGTGAAGACGGCGGAGCTTAGTAACAACATTTTTACTGAAAAAAGAAACAGTCTGTAAAAAAGCTTTTTTATAGATACTTGTGAGGACTTTGGACACCGGGCCTGAAAATGTGACAGTCCCGGGATGT